ACACTCCTGCCCTATCCATATCTCATCTCCTGTCATCTGAATGTGCCCATGTCCAACTGCCCACTGGGAATGGCCCCTGGTCTGTGTATACTCCCAAGCAGTCCTTGGAGATTGTTTGGCTTAAAGTTTGCTGGTCCAAGCCAGAACCATGGCAGGCCCATGCTAACTTGGCAACAGTGGTGATGATGCATGTCTATTGCTGATGTCATTTCTGCTGGGCTCTCTGACAGCTCAGGCCAGCATGGGGAATCTTGCACTAACTCCTAGTGTCCCTTCAAGGTTAGCAGTGCTACTTGTAGGATGAACTTTCAAATCTAATGAGTCTCTTCACCACTTTCAGTGGAGACATGGGCATTTCAGCCTCTTCAGTTACGTTCAGGCCAGTGCTCATCACATTTGAAAATCATACTTTGGGCAACGAAAGGCTGAAAGCTCTTTTTCTAACTTGGTTTCCCCAGTTAAGAAGTTTATCTTTGGGGCCTGAGTGACAAGAGGACTGAGAAAGAAGTGATCCTGTCCTTTAGATATGGCCTTGGTTTTAGATCTCAAATCATTCCTCAGCAAGTCATGGTGCCTTAAGATATTTCCTATCCTATGAATATACCCAACAGGACATTTCAGACAGTATGTATTTCACAGCATATCCATTATTCACAGCATATTATTGGTTAACTATCACCCTGTCACTGGGGGAAAATTAAGTGAGAAATGTGCCTCCATGTTAGACTTAATCATTATCACCCACACAGGAATCTTCTCACTCAGGTGCAGGAGTGTTTAACTCGAGGTTCATTCATCCTGAACCCACTCAGCTTGATGGGGGATGCCTTGTCTGGGAAGTGAGGACAGCGGCTAACCCACCCCTGCTGCTTGTACATCAATACCCTGCAAAGACCAGTTAAGTCTTCTAAGCTGAGTGACAAGGAAAAAGCATCTTAATGTGCCCCTGAAGAAAAGGACAAGACATGATCATAAATGGCCCTCAGACATTATACAGAAAGAGGGAGGACATGATAAAAGACAGGGCTTTACTTTGGAAGGGGCAAGAAGATTTGCAGACTCCACCAGGATAGCTCTGCAGCCAACACGCATCCATAGCTGAGATGTCTAAAGTCCCTTTTAGTTCCTAACTTATATCCCTCTGCTTAAAAGAGTCACACTCCCCACCCCCCCCCCCCGGAAAAACTTAAGCTAATGTTGCTTTTTCTTACATATACAAGCAGCTTCAGACTACTTACTGTGGGCTGACACCTCCCAGAATCCCAGAGATTTCCAAAGGACTTTACAAAATGAAGGCTCATGCTGCAAATCTCTTTCAGATCAGCAGCAGGGTTATAGAGGAGATGGGCACAGCATCAGTGGATACACAGGCCATTTTGTGGGGGGGGAAACCCTGCACTGTAAACTGCAGCCTCATGGAGGCAAATTCCCAGCAAAAGCTGGGAATCCATAAGGAATTTGTGACATAAGTGGAAGGACATTAGAGGTTCTGCTAAATCCCATTAAATGTTAAAGCAGCCACATAAAAAATTAAGAAAAAGGAAACCTCTTTAAGAGATTTATGCTGAGAAACTGGAATCCCTCTCACCTCACCAACTGCCTAGAGGCTGAGTGTCTCCTTTAAGCTGGTTATAAGTGCTCTTTTCCATTCAGTGTAGAGAAACGAGCACCTCTGTAGGATGAAGTGAGTTAAGGATGGTTTATTCTGCAAGAAGTGAGGTGGATTATCTCCTAGGAGTGATTATGAAATGAAGATCTAGGTTGCTGGGCTTTTCTTGTTGTGGATATTATGTTTTTCCCTGCAAATACACCAGGTTATTTAAAGCAGGGAAAGTCTTCGGCCAGTGCCGTCCCTGAATCTGAGATAGACACCCTTTCATTCCATCCTCTCCTAAATCCTGGAGACAGTTAACGTGAATGAGGGGCAGAGCTGCATCTTCTTCTAAGTCCCATTTCCTTCTTTTACCTAACCCTGAAGGTAGGTCTAAACATATCACCTAGCTTCTGTCTAGATTCCCTGGAGAAAGGTGCTACTGGAGGGCTGAATCTCATCTCACCTCCTTCAGTCTCTTTGGATAATGGCTGATCCAAGTTTTGGAGGCATCCTTCCTTCTTCACCTTCCATTGAGGAAGGCGAGGGACCCACACAGCTGTGGTTGTAGCAGATGAACAGTTCATGAAGGGCTTCCATATGCATATCCAAGAGCTGATGTTGACCCTTTTTTCCCCCATCCCAGCAGCTGCTGCATAAAGTATTTCAGCTCAGGCTCCCAGCGTGCACCTTCCAGGTCAATCTGCTCCCCCGATGAAGTACAGCAAGTTCTCACCTCTTTTCTCTCTGTGCTATTTTCTGCTTTTCCCAAGCCATCAAGCAACAGCAGCTAAGCTGGGATTTGGTCTGCCTTGTGCTAGGGATATGATGGAGGAATGAATCCTGACCTTCATGAAATCCCAGGGGTGCTGTCCCAAGGTTTACTTACACTGGAACTTGACTTGAAACTCCAGCTCCATCACTTCTGCTGCTTGTGGTGTCAGACCATGCAGGAGATGCTAACTCTAGGGTGAGCAGGGACCCATTAGTGTAACTGGTCTGTTCTTTGAGCACTGAAGGAGCAATAAACACAGGTTCCACCCAACTGTTTCAAACAGGTACCACTTCAGGGTAAAATGGTTCTTGCAAGGTATAGTGAGGCTTTTCCTTCTTCCACCAACCCAATAGATATGGAAATGAGGAAACTATGCATTAGACTGACTGCAACCTCTTCTACTAGCCCTTCCAGAGCTCTCTTACTCACTACAACCACAAGAGGCAAGAACAGCCCTTTCTGTCACTGTGTGAACCATATGAAGTCTGGACATATCATCGTGGGCTGTGCTTGGGTTTATAAGCCCTGCTGTGGGATGTTTTGCCAGTGTGCATCCTTCAGCAACACAGCTGATACCATCCCTGTTTAGAGGCAGATCTGGCATCTTCCAGTGACGAGCCCATGCTCACATAGACACAATAACCCAGGAGAGACTTGATTTGATTTTTAAACACACTGCCTTTCTAACAATATCCATATTCTTTTGCTTTCTGCCTGCTCTAAGGGAAATCTTTGATGCTCCCTTTCGTAATGGCTCCTCTCAGCATTTAACTTCCTTTTATATAATTACGTACTGGCCAGGAGGAGGAAGAGGAAGGCAGAAGCACCAAAGGAGCTCTAGGAAACCTTGTACCTGAGTCAGGAGCACTGAGCAAGCTCTGCTGCTCACATCCATCATCAATGCCCGCTGTGCAGCATGCAGCCCTGAGATGCGCGACCGCATCCCTGGCACAGGCAGGGAGGGAGGAAGGGAGAGGGTGCACTGGGGATGCTGAGAGCTCGGCTGCTGGAGCGTGGCAGGCGAAGAGCCCTCCAGGGCTTGGGGAGGCAGGCGGGGACGTGCGCTGCCTTGGAAGAGAGCGCAGCCTGCTCGGTGTGGTGGAGGAACGGAGGAACTGCATAGCCGAAGAAGGGAGGGGGTTGGAAAATGATGCAGCTTGTTCAGTGGGTTAGGCAGCCATGCCTGGAAGTGGCAAACTGAAAGAGCCCCAGATTTGGAAGCCTGGAGGGATTATTCGGCCCTGTGATCTGACTTGCAGCACAACAGAGGCCAGCAAACTTCACCCAGTGCTTTCTGTAATGAGTCAAACAATCTGCATAATGCCCTGGCAACCCTCTTAGGTTGAGATTTATGTATTTTTAGTAGGATTAATAATATTGGAAGCAGTAAGAAACGGGTGATGCCAAATGTGTGTAGCTCTAGCAGTAGTTGTAGAAATGAATGTTTATCATGTCGGCACTTTGGAGGCCTCGAGAGTTCATGGTGAGAGGTTTCAGAGGAATACTACATAAATAGGAGAAGGCAGGCCTCTATAAGCAAGTGTGATGGGCATGATTGAAGCATGGAGTAGGGGAGAGCAGTCTGCCTTACTGACGCTGTAGACAGCAGTGACCTTGGTCTGACCAGCAAAATTTAACCCTGATAAACTGCCCAGTTCCAATCTCAGCTCCAAGAAACTCCTCAGGTCTGTCAGAAAGGGCATGCTACAAACAGGCTGCCTTTGGGAAACTGAGTGTCATCTCTGGTGTGTGAATTGAGCAGGGGCTGAATAAACCAGCAGCTCATCAGCTGATACCACTGTTGGTTCCTGGAAAGGACAACTCTCCCACAAGCTGGTGAACCTTAGGCAGCCAGCCCATGTGTAGGGAGGGGTTGGTTGAGCTGCTCACCCCAGGGTAGGGACAGGGGCTTATGCTTCTCCACTGGGGTGGATGCCCCATGCTCAGGACATCACTGCAGCAGAGGACATCAGAACTGGCAAACTCCCTCTGGTTGCTTCCAAGCCTCTGTTCATCTACCTTTGTAATGATATCTGCACTACAACATGTATGTCCCTACACAACTCCCTCCACTGCCTATCCCCCCTCTTTCCTTTTACCTGCAGAGAACCGTGGTACCAATGACTAAACCTTGATTCTTGGGCATTCTTCAGAAGGTCCTTCAGCATTTAGCTGCTGAAAGCCCCCTTTATACTACACTTCACACCATCAGAGCATTGCACAGGCATTGAACTGTTTGTCTTCTCAACACAAACCTGGACAGTTTCATCATCCTACTTATGTAAGGAGGGAAACTGAGGCAGGGAATGATTTGCCGGTGCCAGGCAGCAAACAAATGGTGATACTTGCCATAGCAGCAGAGACTTCCTGCCTCCTCCTAATACCACCACCATTTCTTTAGACTGGACTCGGTGCGGAAGAGCTGAATCTCATCTTTTCACTGATTCTGTTTTAACCAGCAGAATGAGCAGAGATTTTACCCAGCAAACGCAGCACACAGCTGGAATGAGATTTGTCCAAAGTGGCAGCCCCTTACACACCAGGTTGTGTAGGGTGGACAGTTAGCAAAACATCCATCAGGTGCTGAGGGGGGGAGCCTGGGAGGACGGGGAGGGGGATGAGGGGGCCACTTACATGGTAATGTTTCTGCACGGTTCTTTTGGATCATTATGCAGAGCTGTAGCACCAGTTGAGGGGCGCTCTCGAGGAAAGTTTCCAGGAGGCGCAACATATTTACGTCTGCATATTCGTACATCATAGCCCAGTAGAAACGCCGCTGGTGTTCCTTCCGCCTCTGGCTCTGGATCCCCAGGTACATAGTTCGGATATACCTGCAGGAAACAGGAGGAAAAGCTAAGTGTGAGACTTTGGCACGCATCGATGCCTGAGGAGGATGGGGCTGTGGGCAGTTGTTTGGCCGAGGGAGGTTGTCTGGGGGAAAGGGAATCTGCAGTAGAAACAGGGGTCAATGCAGTTCTAACACTATCTCCTGCAAGATCCAAGGACCACTTCTGTACTGCAAGAGTGGGAAATCTCTGACTTGCACCACCCAAATGTGGGGGTAGGAAGTGCTCACAAAACACTTGCACAAGAAAAGAACTCATGCGCTTTTTAGCAAGATGAAAAGAGGAAAAGCTACTTGACAAATACAGCACCACAGAACCACAGAATCATTAGGGTTGGAAGGGACCTCTGGAGACCACCTAGTCCAACCCCGCTGCCAAGGCAGAGCCACCTAAAGCGTGTTACAAAGGAACACATCCAGGCAGGGTCTGAATGTCTGAGAGAGGGAGATTCCACAACCTCCCTGGGCAGCCTGTTCACTGCTCTGCCACCCTGAACATAAAGAAGTTCTTCCTCATGTTGAGGTGAAACTCCTTGTGTTTTAGTTTATGGCCATTGCTCCTCATCCTGTCATTGAGCACCACTGAAAAGTATCTGGCACCATCCTCAAATGGGACATCACCTTCACCTTCAGTACATGTGTGACCCACAACTGCACAAGGCCACAGCTTGCCACTGGTCAGCCATTGAGACTTTGGGCATTGTTGGGCTAGAAGATGTCTCATGCATGAACAAACATTGCTCTATCATTGCCTCTGTTTCCCATCAGATGTGCAAAGAGGCCTGCAAACCTCACCCTGGGGACGCAACATCCCTGCAGGGAACATCTGGCCAGCCTTTGTGAATGGAGCTGATCAAGTCAGGGTAGCACAGGGTACCCAGATATCACAGAATCATAGAATCAGATGTCACAGGACTCATGGCGTTTAAGAAAGGAAGCATCTCCTGCGTGCTGATATTAATGGTCTAATGTTGGATCTCACTCCTTCTCATCCTGAATGGTGGCCATAAACTTGTTTGGGATGGGAACTGTTTCACCTAACGCTGACCCTGAAGCTAGTCTGTAGATAGAAATGTCCCCTCCCGGGACTGTTCATCTGTGCCACCTCAGATGCCAGCATGACAGTGGGATGAAGTGCCTTCTGGAGGCTCTGGGAGGGGCTCACAGCACAAACTGGGGTTTTGCCAAAACGATTAGATCATTCCTTGCCACTCGGGGAGAGACTGCACAGCAAGGAAGAGCAGGAGGAAAGGACATAAGCCTCGGCAGCCTCCGTGTCTCCAAATGACACGCAGGGACAGGGAGCCGGGAGAGCAGCAGAGGTAGGTCTGCAAGCCCTGCCCTTTCTCCAGCCCCTTGTCCTTCCTGCCCGTTCGCAGTGCACAAGCACAGAAGATGAAGTATTCCGAACGACACAAGGACACAATAAATGACACAGGAAAGCCACCAGATGGGGCTCGACACTCGAGTAAACGCCACGCCAGTCACAGACGACACTGGTGACACTGGTGTGACACCCCCAGCACAGCCCGAGTCGGGTGGGAATGGTCGCGGACCACTGCTCTTCGATGAACATCAGTCCTCCTCCCACTCCCCAACAGGCACAAACCCACCGCCTGTACTTGGTGTTTCCATGAACGACCCTGCTGCAGGATGACACAGGGATCCTGCCTTCCCTCCCTGCATGCAGGAAACTGAACGCAGTGTAGCTGGAAAGGCGATACTGGGGGTGGGAGCTGTAATGGCTCAAGGAAAAAGTAGAGAGAAGGAGCATGCAGCTGGTTGTTACAGCAGCAGCAACACAGCCGCCACTGAAAACCAAGGTGGTGCTGCACATAAGGTGCTGGCCATGGGCAACACAGCATCACCTCTGCCACACTCCAAACTCTTTCCAGGGGATATTCCCCAAATCTGTCCTGCAGTCCTGTGTGGCCTCCCCTTTGCAGGAACTCCCATTCCTGCCAGTACATGAAACCTAAACGCCTCTTCTGTAGGTTAAGGCACTAATTCATCATCACCCCAGCCACAGACGAGGAGAATTTATTCATTTTCACCCTGCAGCAGTCTCTTACCTGTTTGCACATAGTTACCATGTAAACCCTTCTTTATTCCAGACTAAAAAACCCCACCATTTCCTTCAGTCCTTTCTCACAGCTCACATTTTCTAGACCTTTTTCTCTTCTGCATTGCTGTCCCCATCACCTGTCTCCAGGTTTTGGTTATTTTTAAGACCATCTTTACTTTTCCAAGCACTCCAGGTTGGCAGAACCGAACTGTAACAATGCCACTGAGTCACTCAAAAAGGTCAAGAAGAAACTAACAGAGACACCACATTCATTGTGCAGTGATTCCTCCTCGATCCCCAAGGATTCACCACTATCCACACAGTTTCAGCATGAATGTTTTTAAGTGGCCATAGTGAGAAGACACTATTGCTGCCTATTAATGGGGGCAGCATGCACAAAAGGACATTAAAATGTGTTGGATTAATTATAATGGTTTAGTGTGAGGTTTCCCTGCCCATGGCACTTGATGATCTTAAGGTCCTTTCAAACCCTAACTATTCTATGATTCTATAATGCCCTGATCCTATCTCCTTCAATGGCCAGAACTATGGCAATTACAGTAACACCAAATTCTCTCAACTGTTGAGCCCACGGACCTTTGCAAAGTCCAACTGCATTGTTTCCCCTTCCATAGATGGGGAAACTGAGTCACAGAGCACCAAAGTGCTCTCCAAAGTCTTCTGGCATCAGAACCCAGAAACAGGTGAGTGGAGTTTTGCTCTGCCTGCTGATGGTCCTCCATCCGGGGTGAACATACTCCCTTGACACCATGAAACCAGCCCTGCTCAATCTGATCTGTGCTGGAAGATCCAGAAGGACAAATCTGTCCCTATCCAAATGCCACATGAGACTGTGGCCTCAGGGATCCCTTGGCATAATATTGGCCAGCAAAAGGCCACAGCCTCCCAAACTTGGAGCAAAAAAGCTCCAAGTACCCTTTGTAGCTAAAGGCAAAAAGAATTTCTCTTTGTACTCTCTTTTTGGTCCATACAAAAATATGGTGCTCTCTCTTCAGCATCCCTTAGACCCATATCTGACAAAGAGAGGAAAAGGAGGACTAAAACCCCCTTCCTCTTTGATTCCAGTCGATTGTGAATTTTCAGCAGAGGAAGTGCAACAGTAACTGGGAAAAGCAGTATTTCTACCTGGCAGGCTTTCAACAATTAATAAACACCAACAATTAATAAACACCTGTCTAATGAATCAATATAAAATTCCACTCAGCCGTAACACTGGTAACTCTTAACCCTATTTCCAAACACCAATGTGCAGCACTGGTGTAAGCAGTTTTATTCCAATATATCTGTTTCTCTGTGCTATTTTATTTACTTTTTTGAGGGCCATTTCCTACCTGTACTAACACTGGTTAAGTGCATGCAAACTCTGAAGAAAAACTGAAATCAGCATCAGTTCACCTGAAATTTGTTGTTCTTGGTCAAGCTGGTAGCAAACAGGAGTCTATAATTAGACTTTCAAATCCATATTGAGGCCTGATCTTCAATCTTTAGCAACACGATGCCTCCTCTTATGTCAGTGAAAGCCATTCACTCCTCCGTGCTTTAGAAAATCAGGCTAATTTATTTATTTAAGAGCTTAATTTTGGATACAGGAGCCTTACTTTGGGCTTTTTATTTTTCGAATGCTGGCTATATTTATATCTGAGTGTGTGTGTGTATGTATTTTTAGTTCTAAGTCTCATCACGGCTTCAAGAGACAGAACTAATTTGGGGTTGGGAGGGGGATTCGGGGTGATTTCCTTTAAATGCACAAAGGGTTGGCTGTCTCTTCCATTTTGGCAGGGCTCCCAGAATTCCTGTTGGTATAATTATCCTCACGCTTATTTACTACGTATGTCGCAGTAGCACACAAACTGCACGGGGCAAAGTCTCTGCTGTCTCTGCGCCAAAGCGTGCTTTTAAGGAGCCAAAGCCATCAGCTTTGGAACTGTGGTCAAACAACCCTTGGAGAGAGCCCCAGGATGCCACCAAGATGCAGAAGAGGAGATGCTCCTACTGTAAACAAATACCCCAACAGCTTAAGTTCTATGGAAAAGGATGCTTCATGTGGATGACAGAGGCTGTTCTGCTGTCTCAGCAAGGACTGTAACAAAAATGTCCAGGTATAAGATTATTAAGTCAGAGGGTCTGGCTATATCATAGAATCATAGAATGGTCTGGGTTGGAAAGGACCTTAAGATCATCTAGTTCCAACCCCTGCCGTGGGCAGAGAAACCTCACACACAAAGCAGACCAAAGACCAGCCTTTGTCCTTGGCCAGCTGGCATGACTCCACCTCCATGTGGCTATGGCCATGCTAGTTGGCTTTAGCCAAAATTGCCACAGTCTGTGCTGACACTTTAACAGGGTGAACTATCAAAAGACTGTGCCTGTGCCTTGGCACTGTTCAGTCTACAGAGGTGGCTTTGAATATCACCAGCAAAAAGGGTAGGAGGATGCCTCAGGCAACAGGCTGGTTTGAAATGAAGAGGATGCTGATGTGTAAGAGGGGTGCAGGAGCACAGAAAGGCACAGAAACACAGGTCCTGGGCTATGTTTTGAGGAAGGAAGAGTCCTGATGGCCTGTCCCACACAACCACAAGCTGACCAAGGTACGGAATCTCAGACTGTATCTACAATAGTCAACAAAGGACAGGGGCCTGATTGCTTTTCCTAAGGCCAAAGGGCCAAGACTGACCACAGAAATGAACTCATGTCATTCTTCAAAACCAGGCAGCTGCCTTCATACTCAATATTGGGAATGACCCCTGGCCCCTACAGAGTCCTGAACCCTCCCCAGCCCAGGGAGAGTACTAGTAAGCCTTGACCAATCCAGTGATTATACTAAATTAAGCATCATGATGAATTTACAATGCCCACAAGCAGGTCTTGAAATTGCCCAGTTTGCTAGCGTAGTTACATGG